ATGGCAGTTGAAAGACATGAACAAAAGAATTGGGGTCATTGACATAATTGACTTATTTCTGCTTTCCTTCCTTTAAATGCATATGGTATCTTTTTTGGTCTGTGTATTTGTTGGATTTATGTTTTTGTTTGCATGATGTGTCAGTTTGAATTTGTGACTTCATGATTCGGATTAAAGCAGAAGTGTATTTTAATTATAATTGCAATAAACATTTAAAATAAGTTTGCATTGAATTGGACTGATGTTGGTGTTAAAAACATACGGCAAAGTTAAAGGATTTTAGGCTTCTGGTGGTTGCCACAGTACTCAAAATACTATGGAGAATTTACTTTAATTTCAGATGTTTCTAATTGGAAATTGGGAATAAACATTTTAGGTGTCCTAAATTCAAAGAGAGAAAAGTAAGAAAAACAAGTTTGGAGAAATTTGTCAAATAATCTAAAATCCTGTAAGCTTGAAGTTGCTGTATAAAAGTGACAGTAGAAGTCAGTTTTAAGTTCTATCCAAGTTAAAAAAGCAGCAATACAAATATAGTCAAACTCCCAGAGAACACAATAGATCAGGGAGACCTGAGACCCAAGACAGCTGATATGAAATGATTACTATATGTACTCAAATCTTGTAGACTTTAAACAAATTGATTACCCTGAAAATTGTATGACCCCTGATAATGATTTTAAAAGCTAGTTTAAGACAGGTTGCAGAGTTTGTAGCTCTGTCTAAACCCCAAAAAAGGAAGAAAAATTAACCACTGTACATATGGATTTTAGTCATGTATTTGGGGTAGTGCATAATTACATAATTGGCTGGGACAGGTAAGTATATATGTTACCTTGGGGGAAGAGATACATATACATTAGGAAAAGATCATTGGAAACATTATACGGCAGCAAGGCTACTGAAGGAAGCTGCAGGAGCTAAAAGTAAAGTTCACCAAAAGATCATTCACCCAGCTGTAGCTATATGAAGGGTAAGAGTACAATTGAAGAACTGGGAACCCAGTGATGACCAGATGGCAGAATATTTTCTGTTTTCCAAATTCAATCACAGGATGGGCCAATGAGCTTTGCTCCTGTTGTACCATTAGGCCTCTTTGGCATATTTTACAAGTATTACGTATGACAATTTTAAGTCATAGATACAGGAAACCATAATCATACATATCAGAACCAAACATTGAATGGCCTCAGAACAGCAATTGCAGTGTCTATGAGTAACTATGCATGTATCAAATGTCCTGACAGATAGCAGCTCCTGGCTATGAAAGGTGGTGTGGCTATATGGCATGAATGACACTGGAAGGAGATCAGGATCAGGCACTGAGTGTGACTGTATGCACCCAACCACTACAGTGTGTAGAAGATGGTGAGGGAAGGGTGTCCTCTGAAGCCATTGGCTTCCAATGCTAGGATGAATGACTTGACAATAATAGAGGGCTTTTACTTTGCCTTACCATGGCTAGACGACCCAACAAATCCAACCATCGCTACTACCCTGGAACAGATCCCTTGCTCTGTCCAGACAGTGGGATCTAATCAGGGATTTGTCTTGATAAAGGAAGACAAGACTCTACGCTATAATGTACATAATGAAAAAATGTAACTGGAGCATCAAACATTACCAATGTAGCATTACCAGTCTGGTGCTCAGACAAGATCAGAACACTGTATACTGCCCTTTGAGGCAGATTAGTGAAATGAATAGGGTACCAAAGGTCCACAGTAAATTTACGAACAAGTGATGAAGCAAATCTTGAACTCAAATGAACTTACCAATCATGAGGGAAAGTAGGGTCCAACTCACAGATTAGTCCAGCAACTATTCTGAACTGTATTATAAAGGGAGGAATAGTATTAGCTATATTGGTGCTCACTGATTCTACACCACATATAGAGGTCCACAGTGTGTTCTGTCTACAAGATGCATTTCAGAAATTCACCAAAGATCTGTAGACCTTCAGATAGTATCCTCTAAACTCATGATCACTTCCATCCAGAAGGACAAGAGCAGCTGATACAGGAGAATATCACCACCTGCAAGTTCCCCTCCAAGTCACTCACCATACTGACTTGGAAATATAATTGTTTTTCCTTTACTGTTGCCAGGTCAAAATCCTGGAATTCACTCCCTAATGGCATTGTGGATCTACCTTCAGCACATGGACTGCAGCTGTTGAAGAAGGCAGCTAACCACCACCTTTTCAAGGGCAACTAGGGACGAGCAATAAATGCTGGCCAGTCAGTGACACCCAAACACTGTGAGTGAATTAAAAAAATAGAGAACGTTGAACTCATTGGGGGTTATAGTGCTATGTACCACAATGTAACTGGAGCATCAAACATTACCATTGTAGCATTACCACTGTGGTGCTCAGAAAAGACCAAAACACTCCATACTATCCTTTGAAGCAGATTAGTGAAACAAATAGGGTACCAAATTGGGAACAATAAGGATCCCCACATTGAGGTGCTACCCACTGAGCCATTGTGCCATCCCAAGTGTTTGGAAGGGGGCACCATTAATGAAAGATAGGACATGGGGGACAAAGTGGAAAAATTTCAGTGAAGACAAAGCAGCTTGACAAATAAACACTACATTATAGATTGGCTGGGGCTGTTGTGGTGCAGTAGTTGTGACCCTACTTTTTGAGTGAGGAATTATAACTGAAATAATAACAAGAATTGAAGGTTCTTACGGCGTAGTGGTACAGTCCTCTGAACCAGGAGGCCCAGGGTGCAATCCCACTCACTCCAGATGTGTGTAATTCCCTGAACTTGCTGTGAAAATACCAGTAAATTAATTGCTCAAACATTATCCTGGTAGAATACTACAATCATCCATGAGAGTAGGATTTCTCCTGGCATACACATACATAATAAAAACCATGCTTTTTGAACAAAACATCTGACACTCAAGGCATTTTTGGATACTGGGGCATGCCCTCACCCTTGCCTTGCAATTAGCAAATGGGGTGCAAATCGTGGTCAAAACCTCCATTGTTCAAATTGTTCTTCTTTTCCTCAAGTTTCCATTCAAAAATAGCTGCATATCGACCAATGCCAAATCTCTCATAAACCAGCACAATCTGGCTGTGTTTTAAGTCTCTAATAGTTTTACATTGAAATTTGTATTAAAATAATTCCTTGATATTTTAAAATTATTGTCTGGTGCAGTCTCAGCAATACAGCCAACAGTTTCTCACAATGCCAAGTATATATTCACCGTCACAAGTAATAGAACATAGAACATTACAGCGCAGTACAGGCCCTTCGGCCCTCGATGTTGCACCAACCTGTGAAACCAATCTGAAGCCTATCTAACCTACACTATTCCATTATCATCCATATGTTTATCCAATGACCATTTAAATGCCCTTAAAGTTGGCGAGTCTACTACTTTTGCAGGCAGGGCATTCCACGCCCTTACTACTCTCTGAGTAAAGAACCTACCTCTGACATCTGTCCTATATCTATCACCCCTCAATTTAAAGCTATGTGCCCTCATGCTAGCCATCACCATCCGAGGAAAAAGGCTCCCACTGTCCACCCTATCTAATCCTCTGATCATCTTGTTTGTCTCTATTAAGTCACCTCTTAACCTTCTTCTCTCTAATGAAAACAGCCTCAAGTCCCTCAGCCTTTCCTCATAAGACCTTCCCTCCATACCAGGCAACATCCTGGTAAATCTCCTTTGCACCCTTTCCAATGCTTCCACATCCTTCCCATAATGCGGTGACCAGAACTGTACGCAATTCCCCAAGTGCGGCCGCACCAGAGTTTTGTACAGCTGCAACATGACCTCATGGCTCCGAAACTCAATCCCTCTACCAATAAAACCTAACACACCGTACGCCTCCTTAACAACCCTATCAACCTGAGTGGCAACTTTCAGTGATCTATGTACATGGACACCGAGATCTCTCTGCTCATCCACACTACCAAGAATCTTACCATTAGCCCAGTACTCTGTATTCCTGTTACTCCTTCCAAAGTAAATCACCTCACACTTTTAATCTAATTTTAAATAACTGAAAATGACTTTAAAGATTATACTGAACAATTTAATATTTACAGAGGTATAGTAACCAAGTCATAGTAATTTTTTTTAAAAAAGCTTGTGAAATGTGCATTTAAGTGCCTTTGGACCTAATAGAATCAGTTTGTTATCTGAACTTCCTTAATGGCTCATAAACAGGCACAATTAGTGAAGAATTGCTATGGTGCTTAACTTAATTTGGGGCTATATGGCTTTTTGGTAGGAGCTAGTTTTTAGGGCAGTACTTCCTTTTGTTCTACATTTGTGAGATCTTGATTTGTGTTGGAAGTAATTTCACTTTAAATTCTTCAGTCTTATATTCTGGTTTGGCTGCTTTCAGGTTAATTGTGCTGAAAACAACAGCCCAAGCTAGAGAAAAAGCTACAATATCTATTTGAACTTAACTAATCATTCTTCTAAACATTTTCAATTATCATTTAAATGATAGCATGAAATAGTTTCCATTTAAAAAGCAACTACCTGATTACATGTCCAGGAAATCCCAAAGTGCCTCACACAACAATGTACTTTAAAATTGCAATCATGTTGTTACCTAGCCAAATACTGCAACTAATTTAAGTATAATGGGATTTCAAAAGCAGCAACTTTGAAGAATAGCGATGTTATTTGTGAGAAGAAGTTTCTTTATTGTATTAGGAGGACTTCCTGTACTCACATATTGCCAAAAAAATTATTTCCCATCTATCTGAATATGAAGTTGAGACCCTGGTTTAATACTACATTCAAAATGTTAGCATTTTGAATAAAGTAAACTCCTTCAGTGCAATGTTGAAATGTAAATCCACAATATGTGCTTACATCATAATGAAAGTCTTAATTCAACAAATTCCTGACATAGGTAAGATTACGACTGACTGAACTAAACAGAGCTATTAAAAAACATAATTACAAATTTTGGCAGTCCTGAAATATATTTTTATACGTAACAAAGTTTGGATACTCACATGCAATGCGGACAAAAGCCTTCTGGCTTTTAGTAGTGCCTGTGGTACTCCAGGCCACACATTGGCACCAATATTCTTCTAAGCCAAACATCTTCTCTACTTGTTGCCGTGAAATATCAGTTCGAACTTGTAGTACTGGGAGTCCTGTCGGCAGTAACAATTATATTAGCAAAAACTCAATACGTCAGCCTTAACCTGTTTTGTCACGTGTCATGTGAGTCACAAAAATCAATTAAGCACAGCTTAATTCAACTGATGTTCAAAGATTGTCCATCAACTGGAGAATTTGCACCTAAAATCTATAGTTTCGTTATATGGATATTGTCTTATGGATTTTATATTTCATTAAGATATTTACGTCATTTTTTAGATAATTGCTTATGGGTTTCAGATCATTGCCCATCTCGATCTATCCATTGATCTGCTGACGAAAGAGATATGGTAAATGTATAAGTCAGAATGGTTTGTGACTTGGAAGGAAACATAACAGATGGTGGTGTTCCATTCCATCACTCTGCTTCTCCTCCTCCTCAGCAGTAGAGGTTTTATGGATGATAGAGGCTGTTGAAGTATGATTTTCAGATCATGTAGTTTTTAATAAACATTTTTGAATTTACAACATTTTGTTATACAATTGTGATGAACATTCTGCTTTTGTTTAATTTTTAAGCTTTGAATAACATGATCTATTTAGTTCTTCATAAGTTACAATAAATCAATGAGCTAAAAAAACGAATGAATGTATACTGGATTTTAATTGATAGTGTAGAGCTAAATAAATACTTGATCAAAAATGACCTCACTCCGTATTCTGAAAATGAGAACATATTAACTATCAATTAATTTCACCTTTTGTAAATGTATACATAAAACATCCTGATACTAGTATTTTCAAATAAAGTTATTAAAGGAAAAAAGGAACAAAAAGAAATATACTTCCAAATATGTCCTCATTTAGTTGCTTGAAGATAATCAATACGTTTACACTGCACTAAGCCACATTGTGTATTAAACGGTAGATTTCCAAGCTTTCTAACTCTTGATTGGTTTTGCCAATGTTTAATTGCAGAATACTTTCCCTCAATGAAAACCATCTCTAAAACATCATTACCAGTTTTTGTCCTGTCACTAACTATATCACTCTCCAGTTCTACAACACACAACAGCAATTCTGTCAAATTATGAAGAAGAAAGGGAAATATTAGGAGAAAAAAACAGGTCCTTACTTGTGAAATGCTTTTGATCAATGCTATGTCAAAATCAAAAATATCATCAAATTACAGATGCACTGGTTAATTCACTAAGTACGGATCAATATCCAGAATACTAGAATTAAAAGGGTGAACTAAATCTTTTGTTTTGTTCCTTCCTTATAAACAAAAGCGATGGAACTTGAATGCAGTACACAGTATGTTGTTGTGACTTATTGCAATATAAATGTATTGATTCTCTTCAAGCAACTCAACGAAGCCAGCTTCGAAAGTATGCCTTTTCTTTTACTACTTTCTTTTTTACAATCAGAAGAATACTTGCTTTTGTCCTTCTAATTTAAAGGTTCTGGCAAAGTCATTTTTCATATAAATCTATCAACCCTCTATTACATTCTAGTCTCCATTTTTGAAAATACTTTGGCAAGTGTACGGAATATGTCCTCTGAATTGGAATTCGGCGACTGATTGTTTTTTTGGCGTGCAATTGAAATGTACTTATCATAACATTTCAGCTACCTTCCCTCAATTCCAACTTGTACTTTTGATTTGCTGAGTGAACAGCATTCAGTTTAAGAGCAAAGGCTGAAGTCTCTCAAACCAATAGCGTTTTTGCTCAGTTATTATTTTTACGGCTCACTGGGGTAGTGCACTGAGAATTATTCCTGGACTCATCACAAAATTTAAAGCCTTTATAAAGTACACAAAGTTCCCCAATTTACCTGTCTTTCAGACACAGATTCATGGGAAGCACAGAGCAGGTTTCTGTACTGAACATGAATAACTATTTATTACAAGTAATTAGACTCTACTTAAAGGTAAGCTGTTGTAAACCATCAGCATATAGCATGACTCATTAAAACTCAAATCCCTTTATAAACTGCCCATTACACACACTCAGACAAACAGACAGGGTAAAATAGGTACAAAAATAGAAATTGCGGAGAAGCTCAGCAGTAGCATCTATGGTAATACTTTGAGTCTAATGACCCTTTTTCAGAACTGTAGTCACAGGCTGCAGACATCTGGAGTCAAGGAACCCTCAAAGTAACCAGTAATCTATCGGTTGGAAGGGATTCCATGAACTTGCCAATTATGCCCACATTGAGGAAAAATAAAGATGCAGAGGAAAAATTCATCTGGAGTTATATGAGAACAACAAAGATTCAAGAACAAGGCATTGATTCAGGTGCCTAGACAGATTTGGCGACATCTTTCAGTATGCACCAGCAAGGGTGTCTAAAATGAGAGTGGTCCATCAAATGTAAAACATTGTGCAGCATGGAGAAGGTGAAGAACACTCACTTGGAGAGGTTGATGTTGCAAGGGACCTGGCAGCCACACACTTAGCTGCTACAGAAGTCCATGACAGAGATTCTCCAGCTGCGATGGCTGTGATACTTATGCTAGATACCATCTTATGTTCTGGGGTTTATGAAGGTGCCACATGCATCTGGAAATGCCAGACTCAGTCATCAGCCCAGAAGACAAACCATGGGGTTTTGACAGAAAGGGAAAGTACGTGTGATTGAGATAAAGTAGAAGCACCTTCAGCAGAAAATTCAGTTCTTCCATTCTCTTTTTCATGATCCAAGCATATTTCTCGGATAGCCAACAGCTGGGGAGCACGTTGGTATATTTCACTGACACAAGAAGATGAAACTTAACTCCATGTTACTTAATATAGCAAAGCTTGTGCAGGCCAAGACCGGCTCGCACTCAATTGCCTTCTGTAATTGATTCTCCTTGCAGGGGGGCACTCCTTCCATGGAGGTGGGCATCATTGTAAAGACACAACGCATCATGGCAATCATGTTTTAAATGGTCTCTTCCAATCTCCCTCCAAAAGTATGCCAAGTCTCTGGAAATGCTGACAGAATCTCAGACATTGTCTGTTGTTATTCCAGTATTGTCTTAATTGTGGATGTTCCACAAAGCTTACCATCTGTAGCCAACTGAGGGAGCTCAGAGTCTAGTGCTCTCCATGGGGAATGCTCTACTCCTGTCCATGTATTCAACAGCTTCTCCTGTACAATGATATGCCTCCCACTATGTGGCATGCCAACTAACTTCCTTGTAATTCCTACAGAGATGGGTTTCTGTGGCCTGATCAAGGGAGCACATCATCTTTTGATGGTGTTTTCTCAGAGATCACGGCCTCCTCCCACTGCAACTGCAATTTTATGCTTCATGGAGATTGTAGGGAAAAAAAAAGAATGAAGATCTGCTGCTAAAAGATTAACACACCTTTCTAAGAAATAGCACATATTCACTCACTTGTTCAGATCCCAAGCACATGCATCCTATTTGTTGCATTTTGTGATGTATGTACCATATGTTTCATATCTTGGGAAGAAGAATGTTCACTTCATCAGCAATTAGCAACATTCAAAACAGTGCAATAAATACTGAATAATGAATACAGAGAATTATACAATGATTCATAGAGACATCAGTCACACTAAGTATAACACCTGCAAAATTTCATACTTTCTCACTGTAGTATGATTTATTATCAATATGAAGACTTACTGCAAATTCTTAAAATTCTGTTTCAAAATTTGTTTTGACATAGCCCTTCCATAATATTCTGTATAATTGCATATTCTAACAATGATAAATAACTAACATGAGAAACTGGAAGATTTTATTGCAAATGAAATATAATCATACCAGGATAGATTTTTCTCCATTATGCATTTACAAATTATAAAAAGAACAGATTTAAGTCCTGTATGATTCAATTTCTTCCCACCACAAAGCTGTATCCCTGGCAAGTTTTTCTCCTCCCCCAAATTGAGGGTAATTCTTTAGTTTTAAATTTAGTTACCCTAAGATTCCTTAGCTACCGACTTAGCAATTGCACCAGGACCAGTTCTCTGTTCGTCACAGTGGCAAGCTCAGTAGGAGAGGACTTCATGAGAGGATAGACACAAAGACCAGTTTGGATGCAACTCTAACAGTGGATTGGAAATGATTTCCAGAACCACAGTGACCTGCTTACTACTGGTGGCGTTGTTTGAGCAGACCAGTGCCATCTCATGCTACCCTGTGTTCACCAACAGCAGAGCGCTTACTACTTCCAGGACCTTCCTTGATTTTTACAACTGATGCCATATTTAAAGCTCGGCTGTATTCCAGATCAATCTCCTAGACACAAATAGCCTAATACAGTACTTGTAGTGGAAGGGAAATAAAAAAGAAAATCTTCAAAAGGCATAAAGGTGGCATAGGTGTCATTGCAAACCTAAGCTCACATTTGTAAGTACATTGGTACCTAACATCAACACCTCTCTGATCGACTGTCATTGTAACTGCAGCTACAAGAATAATTTCTTTTGTTCAAAAAATAATTGACAGTTTGATTCTCATTTCATCTTCTTGTGGTAAAATAACACCTACACCAATGTCACTGCCATTAACAGCCACTTTGAAAGATTTCTCATAATTTGCTGCTGCTAAAACCAATACATTTGGCAACACAGATTTCAATTTGTTGAATTCAATCTGATATTCTTGTGTCCATTCAAATGTTTTAACATGCTTGTTAGAGAAAGTCTAAACAATTTTTTTAAAAGAGCTTCAGTGGAAGTTTGGGACAAACATCCGTTAAAATCCACAAAAGCCAAAATATCTCAAAATTTTTGTGTTTTGTTTTCGGCAAAGAAAAATCCAAAATTGCTTTCATTTCTTGAGCTGCTATTTTTGCTTTGCCCCACAGTGTGGCCCAACTAAGTCACTTCTGCTTTGACAAATTCAATTTTAGCCAGATTTATAAGTAACTTAAGCCTTTATAACCAATCACCACTTTGGTCAAGTGCTGCAAACATTCTTCTCAGGTTTGGCTGAATGTAATCAAATCATCAATGTAAGCCAGTTACACAATGACTTTATTGGTTAATCATTGGAACATTGCTGGTGCATTTTTTTTTTCCA